AGCAAGTCCATTTGCAGGTGAAAAGAAGTGCCTTTGAAGCAGAACCAGCTGTATTTTCATTGAAAGAATAACAGTTTAGGAAGCTTTTCTGCATGTGCTTGCTTGATAGCATAATGTACTCATAAGCAGCTTACGCAGTACAGTATTCAGAAAATAGCAGTGCATTAATTTTTAAAGTAGCAAATGCAGGCGAAGAGCAGTGCTGCCACATGATGATAATGAAGGTGGATATTGTAAAGTCTACTGAGAGAAAAGAAGCAGGGAGCTCCTGAAATGTGAACATTTATAAAACAATAACTAGATATTCATATGATAATAAGCTTGGACAGCAGTATCAACAGAGGCCAAAGATGCAGTCCTGTTTCTGCTTAAGCCTGATGAATTGAAAAGCAGAGAGGCAGTCTTTAATCTGTTATTCAATCCTGGTAATGAGCTATTGTCAGAACGAAGGAGTAAATATATAGAAGAGGTAGGGAATCTCTTTTTTTTTTTCCTTCTGAATTTATTCTGTAGAATAAGAGAGTTAAAATATATTCTGATCCATCTGTGTCCTAAATGGCTGCATCTTTAAAATCACAATCTGATATATACCCAATTTTCTTAAAATATAGTGTTCAGCATGTCGCATACTCAGTTACATGCATTGCAGATATATATGCAAAAGGGACGTATGCAGAACTAGTGATATTGATACTCGCATGGTCGTGTCACAATATTTCTTCAGACTAAATAAGAAATGGTCACCTAGAACTTAATCAACTTATCTGTTTCATATTTATTGTTTAGTTTTAGTTTTGCATTAATCATGGTAGGTTTAGTTAAAAAAGAGTACTGACAATCCCAGGTCAGATCATCTCTTATCTGTTATTATTGAATGGAAGATGTATGAGATAATATTGCAAATAGAGGTAAATCACAATAATCTGGGGGAAATCCAGAGAATTCTAATTGTAATTACATGAGGAGAAGCAAACTAATGTGCATATTTGATGAACAGTTCACTTGTGCTCTGAGGGAGGAACTTTGGCATTTTTCACAGTGTTTTCATCTGTGTTGTAGATGAAAAAGTGCCTGTCTTTCACCCTTGTCTTCACCCTTTGCTAATTCTACAACTTATAACTTCTACTGATAGAGAGTTTTCAAAGAGGAATTTGTAATTGGATGTAAGTCAGTTCAGCAGCTACAGAGATCACTCTGCCAACAAAGGAATAGGAAAAAAAAAAAAAGACAATGTGTAGACAAGGGTGGAAAAAAAAAAAGGATGAGCTGAAGGGCAAGCTCTGGAGAACTTTTGAAGGGCAAAGAAAAATTCAGACACTGAAATGGGAAGTGGATGATCTGTGCATGTGCTGTTTGGAGTGACTGGCAAGAGGCAAGACCTAAGCAGGGAGGACATGGCTGTAAGTCATTAAGGGAAGTTGCGTTGTCATGGGCTAGTGCTTTGGCCCTCAAAGTGGAAAAAAGTGATGGATTTGGGAAAAGCTGAAAAGAAAGAAATGAGAAATTTGTCAAAAATCCGAAAATCGGGGTAGTTGAAAAAAAATAGAAAAGCCAGAGAGGGAGTTTGAGAGAAGAAATGAAGGATTGATGATAATGGGAATAAGAAGAAGTAAAAGAGGAAAGGAATTTGTTTAAGTAATAAAGAAAGTACGATTTGGTCTGGAAACATTCCAGTTCTATCCTTTGGCTTCTTCTTCTTGCCTTCCTATGTTCCCTCAGGAAAGTGCAATGTCTGTCTTGCCTAGACGTTGGGTAAGGCAGACAAATGAGGCTTTGTCTGATGAGCCCATCCCGACTGGCTTTGACGGTCACTTCCTGGGAATAAGAAACAGCACAGGCTGATGACTCCGACAGATAAATGTACAAGAAAGCTTGCGGGATAAGTGAGATAAAACTAGATGAAACTGGGAGTGTGCAGATACATGTTCCAACATGTTGCAGGCCCAAAAGAACATAGGGATATGGTATTATTTATTTCTGCTTGCTCTCCAGGTGGTAATGATCAGTGTTCATGTGGTAGGGGCTTTATGTTTCATAGTTCTTTATAGTCCTGTAGTGCAGATGTCTTTCCTAAGGCCTTAGAAAGTTCAGATGTTTTAAGAGTCTTTTAGTGCAATTGCTGAATCTGGTTTTCATTTTGAAAGACTCCACAGATGCCCTTTTTAAACTTTTGCACTTTGTGGACTCAGACTGCTTCCCAAACATGTAGATGTATATGTATATTTTTTTTTCTTTTGGCTATCGTATTTAGCAAAGAGAGTGGTAAATTAATGACAGGTGCATAGATTTGGAGAACTACCAGCTCCAGAGTCATTATTAAAATAGCCTATTTGTTATATAGGGAGGTTTAGTTGTTCATATCAACTTTAATATAAATCTGGAAGTATTTCTGAGTAAGTACAATCCAATCTTAGCCATAACCACAATATTGGAATAAATACTACCAGAGTGCTTGAAACTGCTGCAAAGAACACTAATAAACTCTCCTTTCTAGGAAAAGACTTGGCCCTCCTGATAGATTGTGTTTAGAGAATATGTGTCTCCTGTGTGATATTTACCCTGGTTCTACCCGGTTTATCCTTGGAGAGAAAGAGGAAGAAAGGGGAATGTTAGGAAAGGGGTTGGGGTTCTATAGCTTACTTAAGTTGTACCTCACTCCTAATGGGCCTCATGAAGTTTTCCCGTTATTATTAACCAACTCCATTGCACTGCTGGAAGGAAAATCTTTTTGAGTGTAGGTCATGATGCTGATCAGCCCGCTTTATTTGCCCCACACAAGAGGACAGCACATCTGAGCTCCAGGAACTGAAACTGAACCTAGTCCTTGTCACTTTTCTGCTTCTAAGCTAAAGATATTTTTAGTGCTTAAAAAATCTCAGATGAATAAATTTCTGTATTTTGTTCACAAGTAAGTTAGAACAGCTGCATCGGTTTATTGAAAATTGGCTCCAAACAAACAAACAAAAAAAGTCAAAGCTGGGATAGTTCTATGCCAAATTTCACCCTGGAGTGAATCTTTATAACTTATAAAACTCCTGCTCTATATAATGGAAATTCTGACAGATCCTTAACTATTTCATATCAAACTGTACTACCGCAATACTTTAGGGGGAACAAATACTTTCTATTTAGAGCTGCCCTCATCTCATGCATTTGCTTTTTGGTTGTTCTTGCAGATTTTTCCCTAATTGTTCAATAAAATTACTGTACTCCACTCACTGATGCATGCTATTATTAGATATCTTTGACTTCTGAAGAATAATGCTGCAGTGGTCCTGTACTGTATTTAAGATACCCTGACTGGATTAATATATTGGAACATCAGACATAAATAGTCATGCTGTCATCTCTTCTTCATTCCATCCCCTAAGAAGGTTGCTTGGGTATACATTTTTGTTCAAAAGATAAGGTTTCATTACTTTTCCTTGTGCCATTGAGTACTTTAAAAATTATTTCAGGACTTTTATGAATGGTATTTGATCAAAAGTTAATACAAAGATCTTCACAGTATATAATTCCTTAGGCTGAGGAGTGATTATACAGTGAAAGAAAATTCATAGAATGAGTTCAGCATCCATAATATACTACACAGAGAGGATCTCTGCATTGAATATGAGCAGGGTGATGAAGGAGAAAGAGCTTCTCTAATAGATAAGGTAGAGGAAATATGTATCTCTGTGAATCAAATGCATCACCAGAGAAGATTTTTATTTTCTAATTCACGTTTCAGAATTTCACCACTGCACTGTACTATCTAAATTTTTCAGAAAATCATAAGATGAGAAAATTGCCCTATTGTTTGTGGATATGTTTGCATATGTTTGAGCAAATGGGAGTTCCACTGGGCACAGATTTAGAGGACAGATTAAGTTATTCACATGTATCATTGATGATATTTACATGTAAAACTGGATACAATTAATGGTAAAAAATAAAACCCAAAAAAGAAGATTTCTTCTTTAAGCATTGGAGTTCATCTTGGGAAATTGCAAAAACGGCATAAACATGCTTTAGGGGAAAAAATGGAAAGGACTTTTGTGAAAAGCCAAAGCAGTTGTGCTGAGGTGCTGCCCCTCCGAGCAGAACTGCGTGGATTTTTCTCCTTTCTCTCTCCTTCTGTGATTGTATCAGGACTTCTGCTGCCTTGGAGCTGCTATGGTTAATAGTACATGTGGTTACATATGTTTAATAGTACTGCGATAATAAGGCTTTTAGACAGGAGAAGAAAAAAAAAATGAGAGATGTCTAAGTATTTTAAGCTTTATTTTTAAGTTGAGATAAATGATTTAGGCCAGTTTTAAGTACTTTCATGTCCTCCTCTAACTTCAATTCATATGAATGCACAGCAATCATGCACTTGGCTGTGCTGTTCGGTGGCACCAAGTGATAGTCCCCATAACTTTTTAGAAGTCCTTCTAAGCCAATTCTAGGAGATTCTGTGCAATACAGTCATACAGGCAGCTGGTGTGGTTTTGTTAGTACTCACTTGGAGTGGCCTGCATGACTGAATTGTACTATTTGTGAAAAATATTCCATTTTGAAATGATGGAACATCTACACTCACGCTAATGTCATGTATGTCACTTATTGTATGTGTTGGAGTTGACCAACCCACAAAAAATATAATGAAAATTTTGTTCTGATTGAAACATGAGTGAAAAATGTCGTCTTCCTTTAATCCACTTATTTACCACCAGATACTTACTGGAAAATATAATTTAGTAAATATTGTACTATTGGAAGGCTATCAGTATTGGTATTTTGATATGTCTCTGGAGGAATGGGTTCTGCAATGATTTACTGCCTCTTGCTTGTTGCTGTCACTGTCTGTTTGACTGTTGTTCCCCTGCTCAGTCCCCTGTGTCACAGAGGAGCTCCTTTGTGTAACTGCTCAACTACAGGGTACTTTCAAAACGTTAGATCTGCCATTGAAACTAAAATAATAGTTAATGTTCCTTACCTTTTTTGCCTCATTTCCAATATTTTTTTCCCCATTCTAGGAAAGCAAGATTATAAGAAAACCAGGCCAATGTTAAGAGCAACGAGATTAAAAGCAGAGGCCAAGAAAACTGCGCTAGGCGTAAAGGTAGAAAACCATTTGATAGCTTATACTACCTTTCTGTATATGTTGTTTCTTTTCCCCATAGAGGTACTGTGTGAATATTGATTTCTGAGAGTTATTGTTTATGACACTTCAAAATCTAAGTGGAATGCTATCATCTAAAATATTTATGATGGATTACTTTTACTTAACCCTAAAATAACTAGAATAGCTGAAACATTAAAAGATTTTATGCAGTCCTTGTCCTTGTTTTCGTGCATACTTACATTAATGTCAAGAAAATATTGTATGCTTAGGAAATGGATATTTTTCACTACACACTACACCACTGCATGCACACACAGACACACAAAACAGTCTTCATGATTTTATACAGTTATAAAAATGACAATACACATCTTTCTCCTTTCTCTTCCTATCTTATGCCTGGGAGTAATTTAAAGCCAGGTTAAAGACTGGTAAGTTCTCAGCACTGTTATCTCAGCTGACAGCCTTCTGTACTGCCTGTGGCATGAAAAAATGGTTGGCTTAACCAAAAACAAAACACTTAGAAAGGTACTGAACTTTGTTTTGGAATTGTCCCTTCTTCAGGTGGGTGTAAAGTATAATAATGACTAATTAATCGTGGCAGTGAATGGGAACAAGGAGGACAAGTATGAATATTTTCTACTATCTCTCTTACCCAGCATGTCATGAATATACTTGGCTGAACATACACTGTTAATATTTAAGTTGCATCCAATATTTTTTCCCTCAAACTTATTTTTAATCAAGCTAATACAGAATTAACTTGGCAACCAGAGTTAAAAATATGCAAAATAATATTTTTTTAAAAAAAAAGTGAATCAAATACCTGGCTGTCCTAGTGAAAGAAACTTCAGTAATGTTAAAAGGAGGGCATGTTCTTCTTTCTGGCAGATGAGAAATCATTTTTTTCAAGTTATAGCTTATAGCAAATGCCAAGGTATTACTACCAAGCTGTAACAGCTGTTGAGCTGCCAGATGATGTATTTGGTTGTCTTCCAGAATTTGCTATTATAATCACGAAACAGTGCTTTCTTTTTGCTCCTGATTGCTGATCTCGATCAAGCATTACCGTGCGATGCAGTATGTTTTCACAACATAATCTCCTCAGTTAGTGCTGTGTGTCAGATTTTAATGAGAAAAAGTAGATTGCCTTTTTTGTTTAAAGGATAGATTATTAACCTTTTGAGTTCAATGTTTTTCCTTCCTTCCTTATTAAATTTTACTTTTTCTTTCCATTTTACTTTCAATGACATGACCTTTTAAAAATGATGTTCTGCTTGGAGTCTCTTACTGTACAGCTTAGCTCTGTTAAAAATGTGATTTTTTTCTGCATATCTTTTACAAGGGAGAAAAATAAGAGCCTTGATCCTTCAAAATGTATTTTGTTTCTTTTTTTTTTTTCCTGTATCTAATTCTTTCTTTAAAAAGACAGAGATCAGGTAAGCTTACATATGATTGTATGTATAATGAAAAATTGAATGTTAATGAGTAAGAAAAACAACAACAACTTATTTTGCACAAATGTTCCTGCATACTATAGCAGAATGTCTGCTCTGTTCTAGTTAAGAATGATTTTGCTATCAAGGTGCACTCATGTTCATGTGATCACAGCATATCCTGCTCTCTGGAGTTCAGTTAGTTCCAATGTCTACATTTGCAATTCTGCCTCTGCCCTCTATAAAAGGGGAGAAAAAACCTTTAAGATGTTATCTTCTGACTATAACGTTTTCTTCCACACCTGAGCCTTCAAATATGATTGTGATTATCCTCAAATTGATTACAGGCATTTGCTTTGCTTCCTAAAAGCTGGGGAAAGCTGTCAGAGCTGAAGCAAAAGGGAAGGTGAGTTGGGCCCCTTTCCCTGCAGGGAGATGCTTGCAGAGGAAGAAGAGTAGAGCCTTATGCTTCCCTCCTGCTGCATTTAATACAAACAACTCCAGACTTACTAAATGTTAAAATACTTTCCCCAGAATATTGAGAATCCCTGGAGAATAAAGAATAGAGAATATAGCAAACTGAATGTCTCGGGGTGAATTTGCAGCTCGTCTCACCTCACAGCGCCAGCTCTTCCAGCCCGCTCAGGGCAGCGAGACCTTGCACAGTGCACAGCGGGCACCCTGCGGATACATCTCCGCATCCCGGGAAAGGCTACTTTGAAACACAACCTCTGTGTCCCTGTTGCCAAACACAGTAACTTCTCACCTGCTCTCAGGCAGGGTTTATTTTGCTCAGACCATCATTTAGCACCTCCTTCTGTCCGAGAGTAAAATTCTTATGACTGATGCACTCAACACCTATCCCAGATACTTCTGGTTTATCTTCCGGATAAATTCAGAAATAAGAATTTGCTGAACCCTCCTATTTCTTTGTGCATTTACTGTATATCGTTTTTTTGCTTATGCAGATTTGTATTCATGATGCAGTATACACCCTTTCAAAATACATTAGTATGTCCATATAACAAGAAACTGAACTCCAGATAAAAATATTGTTGGGAAAATGCAACCTTGCCACACATGTGGAAATACAAGCTCTGGAAAAGAGGTCTATATTTCCAATTCTGTGAAATATGTAACACAATAATTTACAATATTGTGACTTAATATTTTCAATGTCCATTCATATCTCTATAGTTGTTTTTCATGAGTGTCCTAAAGAGATTATAATTATGGTGAAAAGACCATTGGCTATAAATTAAGTTGTATTTAGGTAAAAGAGAAGAGTATTAGAGAACTTTATAGTGGTGTTAGTCATCAATATCTATGAGGATAATGAAATTCCACTGTTGTGTATTTCACCATAAGAGCTGACAATATATGCTTAAAAAAAAGGCCCTGTAAATGACATAAAACTTTTCAGAACCAATCCCCAGGAGATCCTTCACATTTCATTGCTGGCATACCAATTAGCTTGTCTTGTCAAACTTTGATTGCCTTGTCATTTTAATGCAGGGTTTAAAGTAACAAAGTTTCTTTCAGTCACTGCCATTTAGTACTTTTTAATTTCCCCAATGAGGGATTTTTTCTATGTTGATAATGTCAAAGAAGCAACTAAACACTAATAACTAAAGTAGTTCAGGCAGGGTGACCATTCCAGCATTCGTGGTGTAGTATTTGTTTTTTAAATATATTTTAAAATCAAATATCATAAGAGAATTACTGTGCTGTGTCTGTACATGTGGCACTAATGCAGACAGCATCAAAATAGATGACATTTCTTGAAGAAGTAAAAGAGACCTGTCTTGAGAAACAAGTCAGAGAGAAAGCTCTATGTGTCCCAGTGTTTGGATAGAGCCAAATTCTTTGTACTAAGACCGGAAATGGAGTCTCTGAATCTTCCTTGTGCAGTTGCTTTGCTGTCCCATGGAGCTGGCGTCATCATTCCAAGAGCTTCAGCTGGTTGTCCATGCCCTAGCAGCAAGGAGTCTGCGTGGTCAGCAGCAACTTCTCTCTCAGTGGATAACGGAAGGGATATCACGGGTGACAAGCAGAAAATAATTGGAGGAAAGTGAAAATTCAGCCTCATGCAGCTGGGGGGTTGTGTGCCCTCATCGTTCAGAGAAGCCAAAAGCAATAGGAGTTTTGGGGGATATTTCTTTAACAAGACTGCAAGAATGCATCAGTGATCTATGTAGGAGATGATCAAGTTTTGTCTTTTATTGAGAGGCAGACACAAATCTGAACAGTAGTATTTTAAACTCACTTGCAAACACATAAATGACTACAGAATATCAGCCAATAGAGAATCATTGATTTAGCTAATGGAAAAATGTTTTCTAAAAAAAATGGGAACTTGCTGACTTGTCATAGTTTTGCATATCTACTTAATCCATTATTTAGATAACTAGTTCACTATGAAGAGTCTATTTCATCTGGAACAAGTTATGCATGAATAGATAACAAAACATTCCTAGTGTATTTTGGCAAAGAGTTTTCTCTGATTTCATGCTGTTCTTAATCTGCTAAGTTAGTGAACTACATTTGCCAAGATGTGTTGGGAATATAGTTTAATAGCTTTGTAGAAATTAAGGCCTCAAGAGACTATTAAATCATTATATCTGGCCTCCTGTATGTCACAGGTCATAAAATTTCATCCAGATACCTTCTGGGAAGTCCAAATACTTCAGTAGGGCCAACGTATTTGGGCCTTCAAACCAATCCACATGCCTCACATAAAGAACAGAGTGGTTTAATGTACAAAACTAAGTGTGATATTCCCAGTGATGCCAGGAATCAGACTATGTTCCCTGACATTGAGATGGACAGGAAAAGAAAAACAAAGCCAAAAACAAATCAGATTGCTCCCACCTGACATGGCCTGACCTCTATACATAAGTACAGTTATCAGATGCTTTGAGCATAAATAATCACATGCTTTAAGCATGTGAACAAGATGCAGCATGTGGAAGCTTAGGAGGATTTTCTGTACCATCTCAGAGTAATAGCCCATCTTTCTCAGCCATCTCAGAGTAATAGCCCATCTTTCTCCAGGGCTGCCTGGTGTCTAGTTGTGGCCAATCTCTAACACTTCAAAGGATAGCTGAGTGAAAACAACAACAACAACAACAAAGCCTCAGGTCTCCAAAACTGAATCAATACAGTTGTAGGGAATTGGAGAGAATTCTGTTTGGAAGAGAAGGAAACTCTTCTTCTGATCTGATACAGAAAAGTATGAAGCATGAGCTGTCGTTATTTTTAATAAGCTGGAATTTCAGAGCTTCACAGTATAATGCTGACAGTGCAAGTGACCCCATTCTGCCCATGGTCCAGAAGGAGAGGAGCAGTCTGGAGGGCTGAGCTCACAGACTCCCAGGCCAGCAGCCAGGACCTCCTTTTCACACATGCTGACGCTGAAGTATTCTTCCTAAAAGTTAAATCAAAGCATACTTTTTTTGAGAGGTCCTGCTTTGAAAGACTACAGCCGTGGTAAGTCCATAATTTCCCCAAAAAGTAATTCAAATATTCCATCATCCTTCCTCCTGGGAAATTACATTTTATTTCAGGTTGAGCTTATTTCAAGGTGTGTCTGGAGGGTTCCTTTTAAACGAGATCAGACTTTCTTGAAAAGACAAGACTAACTGACAAGATAATTTTTTCTTAAATTCAAGTATATAGTAATATACCGCTATAGTAATACACCGTAATCAAACTACTTCTAATTCTTCTGCATTATGAACAAAATGCATTGAGCTCTGTAGCTTGACCATGTCAGTTTTTTTTTTTTCCAATCTCTGATCTATTTTAGTGACCTCTTTTCAAACTTGATCTTGAGGAATGATTTCTAGCACTTGACCGTGATCTAGTGATGCTCTTACGAAAACCAATCATTTCCCTACTGGAAATCCCATTTGCTTGTTCAGAGACCATGATGCTGAGGTAGTGCTTATCCCTTAAATCCAAAGATCATTTTAGAGTCACAGTTGTTTAAGGCAGGCCCCTCTTTTGTAAGTTTTGTCTACATTTTTGATTTTATTGTGCATTTAGCTAGGACGTTCAGGTTCCCAGGGTGGAAATGATGTATGTTTTTTAAACCTATATAGTAGTAGATGGTGAAATCTTCTATCTTTGGTAACTTCTTTACGTATAGAATGTACTGTGTTAAGGAAGTAAGCAGAAGTAAGCATCAATTTTTAAATATTATTTTACTGAAACTCTAAAAATTGGACATTAGAAATTATACATGAGAAAAAGGCTTATTATGAATTTCATGTATATCTTTTTTTCTTTCCCCTAAAAAGACAACTATCCTTGTTCAGTGTCAATTGCTTCTTTTCATGTCTTCAGAAATGGCTACGGATAGTGCAGCATTTCAGAGACAGAAATTGTAGTGCTCTTTCATCTAGTTTTAGAAAGATGTAATATAGAAAAAGTACATTGCTTTTTGGGAGACAATAAAAATAAATTAATGTGTGAAAAAAGTCTGAGCATTTTATGAGAATATGGTATTTTTCTGTATATGTATTATACAATATTGTTTTATTCAGTGTCCAATTTCATAGACTCATGATAGAATCATTAAGGTTGGAAGGGCCCTCTAGAGATCATCTAGTCCAACCCCCCTGCACACGCAGGGTCACCTAGAGCACGTGGCACAGGACTGCATCCAAGCGGGTTTTGAAGATCTCCAGAGAAGGAGACTCCACAACCTCTCTTGGCAATCTGTTTTAGCCAATATTTTTTCACATCTAGTCCCCCATTTTTCATCTCCTGATTAATCTCATTTAGGCTTCTGCACCTTGCTCCATCAAGGTGAATCTGAGAAAATTAGCTGAAAATTTCAGCTTGAGAAACATAAAAATAATGAAAATGAAAGGAGAATTAAATCTACTTTATGCCATAATGACATGTATTTTCTTTATGGAAAAGTTTCTGACAAATTTAACAATGATAAAGTCAGTATGGTTTTACAGAAATGACCATAAATATAAGAAAATAAAATAGAAAATTAGGTTCCTTCTAAAGGCTTGTTTGACCATTTTTTGGAATTTGAGAGCAAGCATATGATTTTTTAACATTCTAAACCATGTTATAAAAGAAAGAAAAAGGAGAAAAAGAAGCCTTGTGATCATTTTAAGTTTATTTCTATAGGACTTTTTATATATGAGTTAATTATTCATGGTGAAATCCTTTGAGTAAATGGATGTTGCAAAGGGATGATAGAGATGATCCATAAAGTGCAAAAGAAAGGGAGCTATATAAGCAGAGTGGGGAATATTTTAACATTTCATTTCTATGCATGGCTTAAAATACAGATAGCAAAGCCTGAGAAGTATAAAACAAATTAAAATGACAATATGTACTGTTGTTGGAAAAACAGTTCAGTGGTGTAGTGTTTCATTTGCTACTTACATTGCAAAATTTATGTTTATAAAAGTTCATAAACTGAATGTAATTCTTAAGACACTGCAGAGCCCTGTCTGAGAGCCAGGTGTCCTTCCTTACATTTTCGCTGCTCTGCCTTTGTAAATAACTCAATATTAAGGTTGTTGCATAATTCTCAAACCTGGAATTTCAATATGCTTGCATCTATAAGCCCTTACATAGATATTGGGCCATCCATGCATATTTTCTAATACCAATGTAAGGAAAGTAGTGATGTTATTTCAATGTTAAGCTTAGACGGAGAGGAATTAAAGAGCAACTTCAGTCAGAGCAGTTATTGGGAATTCTGAGAATAAAATCAAAATTTTCCCAGTTCTACTTTGCAGGGAACAAATCTTCAGTGTAAACATTTCCCCCAGTTTTGCTCCTTTTGCCATGACTTTTGCAAGGGAGAGTGGGGAGAAGGGAGAAGAAAGGGGAACTAATGGTAAAGGAAAAAGCTTGGCAAGCATAGCACCCAAACAAGGGGAAAAAAACCTCAGTAATACTGGAATGAATTTGCTCTCTGTGTCAAGTGTGAACGGTGCCTGCATTGTACGGTTTTGTTGTCCACTCTGCGGAGCAGATGGAGCTTGCAGTTGTATGTCACTTGTTTATTACATCCTCTTAAGATTAGTAGCTGTGTGGCCAGATGGGTCTGGGAGCACAGCTGTGGATACAAGGAAATAAATGAAACCTGTCTGATGCTGCCATGCCCTTTTGTGAGATGCTGACGTGTTGCAACTGCAACAAAGCAAAAATCACTTTCCTTTAATATGTCTGTGAATTAAATGTAATTTCTTTTTCCTTTTAATCAAATCACATAAAATCAAGAGAATAAGGTTCAAAGAGTGATATAATTCTAAGAGGAAAACGTATTTAAAATCTCCAGTAAGCAGCCTCAGCAAATTTACAGGAACAACTTTAAAGTGTTAAAATAAATTTAAAATACATATCAATTAATCATCCTTGTAAAATGTAAAGCAAAGGCTTCTATAGAACAAAGACTCATATAGCACACGCCAACTAGGCAGGAGTATTTCAAAGTTTATTAGATGGCATATGTTGAATTATTGATCCAACATTCTGATAAAGTATGTAATGCATTAATGTAAATGCAAATGAAATGCTGTTCTATAGAAGAATGCCAGATTATGGGCTAGACTAAGAAGTAAAGTGAACACAGTTTTAACTCCTTCATGTCAGTGTACACAGAAAGTCACAGAACTATCATGAATCTGGAGATGCAGGATGAAGTTCATCCTGCAGTGAAGATGTCTACACCAGGCAGACACTCATCTACACTCCCTTTATCGTTAAAGAGGAGAAATAGACATTTTTAGGGAGTATTCACCTGACCTTCCTTAGATATTTGCTTTAGAACACGAGTAATGCAAAAGGGGGCCAGATTCTCTCCTTTGATGGTAAAAGATGTCTAAGTGTCTAGGTCACGTATAGACAACTCCAGTCCCACTAACAGAATTGATTTGACGTAGCATGTTCTGTAGCAATTCACATTATTTACTGCGTCCTCAACTCTTTCTGTTGTCTACTTTGAAGTGTCTGTGTTTGTTTTGAGGCAAATGTTGTTTAACATGAAGCTGAGATTTTGGGGAAGTTTTGTTGCTTTGTTCTGTGGAAGGAAGGTGGTTGAGGAAGACTGGTGCTCCCCTGCATGATTTTAAGAATACATTATGATGATAGATAATGAAGCAATGCATGTTGTTAGGTGTGGAAGTGGCAGTTTCTGTGAACTGGAGGAGCATATGGCCATTTCTCAAATTTACGTTTCTTCTTTCATTGTCTAACAAAACGAGAATTGATGCTGCAGGAATTGTGCTGTGCTTTCCAGGAAAATGAAATCTTAAAAATCAGAAACACTTTAACTTTGAAAGAAGTGATCTTGTAAAGAGGGTATCATAGATATCATGCTATGATTCATTATATCTGAGGTCTAAAGTCGATCTTAACTTAGGCCAGCCTTAAGACAGAATATCATGATAGGCAGTCACATAAGGAATATGGCGTTTAGTACAAAAACATTTTCCTGCTTATGAAAGATGCTATAAATCATGTACACTTTGGAAGACTTTTATGTTAATTAAGGAAGATGTAAGAGGCAAGTGCAAGTGCAAATTGTGAGTGTTTTTTCACTTTATTGCAGTGAGAAGGCAGGAAAAGTTTCACTCCATTCTGAGGGTTTTATAGGCCTGTATTAGAGCATGCCAGGAGACGGGGAGGTAGAGCTACCAATTTTCATTGACTTCCACCATACTGTGTTTGCTTCATTAAAAAATTACCAATTTGTTGACAAAAAAATAACATATTACTAGAAAACATCAAAATTCACGAAATAAAATCATCATTTGAATCTGTATTCAAAACTATGGTTTCCCGAATTCTGTGCTTTCTTTTTTTTAAAAAAAAAAAGTGAACATAAGAGCTGCTATTTCTGGGCCATATCAAAAATCTTTACAGTCAAATATCCTATTTCTGGGAGTATATCAGAATATCACCTAAATCTTTCTTATGTGAATGGGTTTGATAACATTATAAAATGGTGAAGAAAGAAAGAAGAAAAAATCATTAAAATAGCAATGCATTATGTGAAGTCCACATGTCTGAAGAGGCGTTGCATAGATGTGTGTTATACAAGAGAAATAACATTTGTTCATTATTTATCTGAAATGATGATACCATTTCTAACATTTTGTGTTTTATTTTTTTTCTCTCATTCCTACAGGAAGTTGCCCTTGTCCTTGTAGCTATATTGATATTTTTGTTGGCTTTCTATGCTTTCTTTTATCTTAACATTTCCAATGAAGTTGACCTTGATCTGGATCCAGATGAAAACTAGCAGATGCAATGAATCCATCATCAAGATTCCTTCAGCTGGAACAAGACTACATAGGAACACATAGTCCCTTCACTGTGAGACAACAAAACGATGCCATTTCTTGCGGTCCAGATTCATAAGAAAAGTCTGCAATATGTCAGTCACTCTCACATTCCAGTTCTTCAAAATGTGGGAAGAACGTTTGCACCTCGCAAGCACATTTGGTTAACACTGAAGCCAGGAGCTGCGGAATGATACATGAAGTTTAGTGTTTACATTATTTTTTCCTCAGACAGAGAAACTTTGGCGTCAAAAGACAGGTGCTATTGCGATAATGGGTATTGATGCGGACTTCACAGGGGAAGAGGCTGCCTTGAGTAGATTGAGAAATCAAAGCTTCCTAATAGCCAAATTAGGTTCCTTTTCCTTTCCCAAAGAAAGCCGAAATAACAAATGAAATGCCTTTTCTTCATTTGTATTGAAAATATATCAAAAACCACTTGTTCTCTCTCTCCCTTTTTATCTTTCTTGTACATGTGCGCACACATGTGCGCATGCACAAAGATAGAAGAAAATGTAGGAAAAAAAAATATCCTTTTAGAGGCAGTCTGTCACCTCCTATATGGACTTAATTTTATGTCATCCCAGATTCTGTGTGCCCATATATCTACAGTAATCTTTTTCATTCTTTTGCCAACTGTTCAGCACACATGTGTTCTGTCAGAAATGGCACCTGGATGACAGAAGCTCTAACATTCGCATATGCCTTGGAAACACAGTTCTTTGCCTCCTGTGCTGTCTGAACTAGTGTAAATAGAAAGTTCAGTCACTGTTGATTTTAATTAGTGTATTGCTCTATTATTAATCTAAAGTTGAAGTTGTATTTTAATTATGCTCTTCCTGCTAGTCATGGTATCAACTTGCTCTACCTGTTAAGGGCATGTTGTAAAAAATTTGCTTTCCCGTTATACAGTCATTTTTATCATCAAACTAATGTGAGAAGCTGTAACTACTGAGAAGCCTTTTTCTATGAATACTTCTAATGACTGGAAGCACATTAGCTCAATGACGACTTTTAGTTCTTGCAAAGTACCTTTCAGATTATGCAGTACAGAGAACATTTCTGATCCCTCTGCTAGAGAACCACAAGCAACTTGAAAAAGGAAATATGTTAAAGCAGCTGCAGAGAGCTCTAAAATTCAGTCTATGTACCCTTCTGTTCTGGTTTTGTCATGTTTCTGGACCTGTGATGGTAAAGGCTCTGTTTTGTTCATTTTAGAAACATGGTCAGGCTTTCTCTAGTTATGATTTCTCTTATCTTGATTGAGTCATTTGTGCTGAGACTGGCCCAGATATTCTTCAAAAAAAAATCTGAAATTCTATTAGCAAATGAGCCTTAAGGCATCTTTAGTATCATTTTCAGGTGAGATTGAAGCTGAAGATTATACTTAGTTGCAGCAAAATCCTTTACTGAAAATTGTTCCAGAAATGCAGGATTTCTTACTTAGATTTCATACAGTGATTTTGGAGACAAAGGGATACCAAAACATAGCAAAGATTTTAATGTAAAAAAAAAAATTATTTAAAATTGACACAGTCTCATTATCACCATTTAAGGAACTTAGATCTATGCAGTTATTTTTTAAATCATATAATGATCATAAACTTATCCATGATGAGTCTCTGGGTATGCAGTTCTTATCTGTCATAATCCTCATTCAGCTTATATAATGCAAAACAACTTCTCTAGTAATTTGGAGTGCAACAGTCTTCCAAGAAAATGATGAAGCAGAAATATATACATATATATGCATATATTTCTCATTTTTTAAAATTATGACTATTACAGGCACAAAATCCTAACATTTATACAGTTGTATGACTTATAGTCCTCTAATACTCATATGCACGACCAAATGCTTAGCAACATATTGCATTTATAGTGAAGCATTTCCTGACACGTGGCCTGCCTTTCAGTGGAGAGAAAAGCATATCGCAAGCTGTCTTTCTGGATGTGACATGCTTTTCATTTCACCAGTGCCACACCACATGTCACAGAAGCTACAGACCTCTCCTTTTACTTTGCATGAGCAATTACCTTTTTCCATAAAATGCTGGAAGAATTGCCTTGGTAATGTGTGCATGTTGCACTGTGGGTGAAATGCAGTATGAGAAGGATCTGCTGTTACCCCTGGCTGCAGGTTCTCTAATAACCTGCATTCTGATTCTCTTTCATTAGAAATTCTTAGTTCTTAGTTGTTCTTAGTATCAAATGAGGACATGAAGTTACTAGTACACGCACGTATCATTTTCCAAATATTATGACTCACAGACAAAATCCAAAATGTGTATATAAGTGAATGCAGTATCTTCACTGGTTTGTGGCTCATCAGTGCACATTGTGCTTGAGTGCTACCATTTGCAATTTTCTCTTGGCTTCATTTAGGTTACGCTTTTTATTTATATGAAAGATTTTCTTATGTAACCAGAAACCTTTCTTTTGCTTAGCTAAACTGGGCAGACTTCTGTTCTGTGTACACAGTAATACATGGTAAATCTTGCAGTGAATACGCACTTTCTCTTGTTAGTATGCTATTTTAATGGGACTGTGTCAATAGTCTTGTAATGATAAAACTCGACACATTTCATCAAACTACATCCTTGTTTTTCTAAAAGGCATAAATACAACAGTGTTAGCAACAGGATTAGATTCTGAGTTTACTCACATTTATCTTACTCCGATTCCACTGCATTCAATGAGATTACTCCTGATTTACTCTAAGGGGAAATCAGAATCCAGTATGCAGTTATTGCTGCTTTCTGGAGGACTGCAATGTCTATGCTTGCCATTTGAAAGTGGAGCCTGGTTTTAATCTTGCAAGCCCTTATTTTGCCCTTATTTATATCTGAAATTGAAATATGCCTCTTGACTTTTAGAACATTTTTATCTATGTGAGTTGCTCAGTATCTGTTTTAATAATAAATGGATTTCTACTATTTTTGTGCTTTTATTAATATGGAATGTGTCACAGTGAATTATATGTTATCATATACATGTATCATTTGGAAGACCATTAAAACAATCCAGACAGCATGATAATCAAGTTTAGCAGTGATACTTACTTACATTTTTAGACTATTTGGACTAATCTAGACAATTCTAAGCCCTAGGCTCATATTAAAACTGAATGTAGTCTATGAATACTTTAAAGACGCTAAAGAGAACTTCCCTTGGAATCCTATCCAATACCAATACAGAGGTTCTGCTCTGAAGCGAAGGTTGTTCCCTGTAGCTCCCATCAACTTCAGAATGATTGGCTTTCAAGGAAGGATTGCTGATCAAGTCATTTATGCACCAGCCTTGACTTAACTAGGCAGGTTTTTTCAAGGACATTCACCTTTACCCCTGGGGAGGAATAACCCCAGGCACCAGTGCAGATTAGGGGTTGACCTGCTGGAAAGCAGCTCTGTGGACAGGGATTTGGGAGTCCTGGTTGACACCAAGTTAACCATGAGGCAGCAATGTGCCCTTGGGGCCAAGAAGGCCAATGGGATCCTGGCCTGCATGAGGAGGAGCTTTGCCAGCAGGTCGAGGGAGGGGATCCTGCCCCTCTCTTAAGCTCTGGTGAGGCCACACCTGGAATATTGGGTGCAGTTCTGGGCTCCCCAGTACAAGAGGGATGTGGAGCTTCTAGAGCGGGCCAGTGTAGAGCAATAAGGATGATTAAGGGACTGGAGCATCTGTCGTATAAGGAAAGACCAAGCGAGCTGGGCCTGTTTGGCCTAGGCAAGAGGAGACTGAGAGGAGATCTGATGAATATGTATAAGTACCTGAGGGGAGAATGTAGGGAGGAGGGAGTCAAATTCTTCTCAAGGGTGGGCAGTGACAGGACAAGGGATAATGGGTACAAGTTGAAACACAGGAAGTTCCACCTCCATATGAGGAAGAACTTCCTTACTGTGAGGGTGACAGAGCCCTGGAACAGGCTGCCCAGAGAGGTTGTGGAGTCTCCTCTAGAGATCTTCAAACTCTGCCTGGATGCTGCTCTGTGCCCTGTGCTCTAGGTGTCCCTGCTAGAGCAGAGGGGTTGGACTGGATGATCTCTAGAGGTCTTTTCCAAACTCAACCATCCTGTCATTCTCTGGGGACAGAGTAGACTTCAGTGCTGTTCCCACCCTCCACCTCTGGAGTAAAGTGAATTCCTTCCTGGCAGAGATTGCCTAAGAGGTGCCTGTACCAGATCCTCTCGCTACAGGCAGAGCAAATGCCTCTAGTTCCTCTGTTGCTCCCCACCAGCCCCTCTGGAAAGGAAGGAACAGTAGTCATCCTACAGCGATTTTGTTCAGTATATCTTTCTTCAGTAGTTTTTCTTTTGATAATACAGAAACAGACCCACCATATCCACCATCTCAGGACAGAAATCTCAATGCTTTTATTAGTACTGCTGGTAAACATTGCTAAGGAAAGGCTTTAACTATTTCCAATAGCCTGTAAATATATTTTAACTGAAGTTTAGCAGTCATGTTAAGTGTTTCCTTGATAGACTCTAGAAATATATTTAAAGTTTTGTTGAAGAATGCTTTAAGTAAGTTCACTGTTGCATATCATGTAGACATCATGTGATTTGGGTTTTGTCAAAGCTCCTTGCATTCATCTAATCAATGGGAGCAGCGGCAACAAGCACAGTGCAAGATTAAGCAGCACCATGTAACTGAGAACATATGCAACATGAGAAAACTTCTCTGTTTGCTTAGGTTTTTAATATAATCTAGAATACTTGACCTAACAAGTTGTGTTTGAAAAAAAAACAGCTTTTAAACAACCCTTTTCAATGGGGGCAGAGTGGAAGCCCTACAAAAAGGCCAATCCTATCTCCATGAAAATTGCTTCCATGGAAGAGGCATATCTGCTGACATAGCGCCAACTTTTGAAGGCTTTCACAGAGGAAAGCATTACTAGCAGCTCCCAGCAGAGCAATGATTCCTTTTGCTCTGCTATAGGATTGTACCTATAGGGCACAACTGAGCACTTGTTGGCCACAGAATCACAGGATGGTTAAGGTTGGAAGGACCTCTAGAGATCACCTAGTCCAACCCCCCTGCTCCAGCAGGGACACTTAAGAGCATGTGACACAGGGTGGCATCCAGGCAGATTTGGAAGATCTCCAGAGAAGGAGACTCCACAGCCTCTCTGGGCAGCCTGTTCCAGGTCAGATGGTCAGATGCATTTAGGACGATTCTCAGTGAAGGACTGTATTTGAAACACAGACTATGCAATTTAGAGTGCCAACAAACAGGATACTATGAATCTTGATCACGTTTCAAGTTTTACTTGCAGTAGCATAATCATTAGTGGTGCTTATGACTAAGAAAATAACAATTTGGCACATTAATAAGACAGCAGAAATTGATGTTGGAACGCTTCTTAAAAGACTTTGTAGTGGAATATGCCTGCACTTTGGAAAATGAAGCCATGAGATGAATAAACTGG